GTAAACTATGATTGTAAGGACAAATAGTCCTCGAGGTAGGTGAACCTCAAGGTAATGATTTTAAATGACTAAACATGCTTGATCGGGAACGAGTTCGTGATAGGATATTTTTCATTGGTCTAGAAATTTAATTTAAACCATGTCCGTGATATGGGAGCCCGAAAGCCCTCCTACAATAATTATCTTTGTTATCAGGTGAGTTAGCCTGCGGGTGACTCCACTCGAGGGTGAGGCATAGGAAGGGTGAATTTAATGAGGCTTTTATGCCTAAATAATTGAAAGACAAATGGGCTCATGGGCCGGTTATTTTACTCATAAATATATATGTACACTGTATGTTTAAAAAGGGGTAGCTAAGAGTTATGCCTATATATATACTATCACCCTATGTTGAGGGTCCCATGTGAGGAACGTTGGTTATATTACATACAGTTTGCAACCAGTACTTTTTTGTAGTACTGAACCCTCGGGGGAACCACCCTTTCAGGTTGAAGCTTGAGCTTACTTTTCTGCACCTGTTGTTCGGGAGATCGATGGAGAGAAGAAGTGGTTCGTGCTTCCTCTGGTTCTATTTATAAATAATTAAATAATGCTCAAAGAACTATTTTGACTTATAAATTAATAGAGCCCACGAGCTCTTGTTTTGCCCTCGTGTGGGTTCTTATTAAACAATTATTTTCCGCTATGTGTTTAATGGTATGTTAATGTTGTTATGCGGTTAGTACCCCAAACCCGCAAATGTGATATATATATATATATATATATATATATATATATATATATATATATATATATATATATATATATATATATATATATATATATATATCCCAATCTTCATAGAAAAAGTTATGTTAGCAACATGATCATATGTTTTTTTGGCATTCATAAATGTAATTTTATGGTGTTAAGTACATGATTTAAAATACATAAAACACTTACGAGGATGCAATTATAGTTAGATTGTACCTAATTTTATTATTTCTCACAAATGAAATTTTAGTACATAATTGTGTACTTATTGGAGTATTTTAAATTATGTACTTATTGGTGTAACTGTATATTTGTAAAAAACATACGATCATGGTGCGAAAATAACTTTTACATATAAAGTTCATAATATATACTACCTCCGTTCCCATTTTAACTTCCAAATGGGTTTGGCACAAAGTTTAAGATAGTGGATATTGTGTGGTGGAGACTTATGCAGAGGAGAGAGAAATGTGTAAGAAATGTTGTGAACCACAAATTCTTTATCAAAAAGGGAAAATGGAAGTTTTAATTTGAACGGACGAAAAAGGAAAGTTGGAAGTTTATTTAGGAACGGAGGGAGTATTACATATACTCCCTCCGGTCCCAAAACAAATTCACACTTTCCTTTTTTGGTAGGTCCAAAATAAACTTCACACTTCTTCTCCCTTCCTTATCTGGCCAATTATCAAGATTAAAACAGTGCAAAACAGTGTCAAACAGTATCACAACAGTGTACTCTACAGTAAAGTCAGGTTTATTTCCTTAATTTGTGTGAAGTCAAACACTGAATTTGTTTTGGGACCGGATGAAGTATAAATTTGGAGTATTTAGCTCACACTTTTTTAAAGTTTTAGATATTTATATTATTATCCACATTAGGTTTCATATACTCCTTCCGTTCTTTATTAGCTGTCTTGTATTCTTTTTTGGGACATTTTTAATTTTATTTGTCTCTCTTTTCTTTTTGGTAAGTTTTTTCGATCAAAATACATTTAGACCTATTTTTATTACTCTTAATCATTTCTCTTTCCTACCTTTGTCATTTAAACACAAACCACTACACCCTTTATATTATCCCTATTTTTTTAAAACCTGTGTCGAAGCCTAAGGGGACACTTAATAGAGAAAGAGAGTATAATATACCGAGTAAAATTTCTATAAGCATTATAATCTTTTAAATGTAATCAAATTTTTATCTATAAAAAAGAATTAAAGAGTGACATATTAGATTTTCTCTCTTCTCTCTCTAGGGTTACCTTCGGGTAACGCCTAGTCTTTGTCCGCCCCCAGCTGCTCAGGAGGTCTAGGCCGTTGCCAGTGGCTGTGTTTGGAGTGCGGGTTTTCTATCGAGCTCTTCGGGGCTTCACTTTGGTTGGAGTTTTGTTTCGGTCGAGGAGGTCAGTGGCGGGAGGAGGAGCGTTGGAGATTCGGCGTGGTCTGTCAAAGGCGGCGTCCACGAAAGCTTTGTTTTGTTGTAGAGGTTCGTGCTGTCAATGGAGTGTTCTGTATACAAATACAAAAACATGGCGATTGGGACGAAGGAAGAAGATCTGGATTTCAATACGAAAGATGCTCCGATAGAGAAAAACAGTCCAGGGCTTCAGGTGGTAGGAGTGCTACTAACTTTTGAGGCGGATGAACGGCGAGTGCGTCCTCCTCCTGAGCCGCCGCCATGGCCGCAGGTCTGAGGGACGATTCGAGTTTTCTGGCTGAATCAGAAGTTTTTTATTTTTTGTTTTGTTTGTTGTTTTAGAAATTGTTATTTCTGACTAGTATTTCACCCGTGCGATGCACGGATGAATATCTTATCCAAATGCTAAACATAAAAAAAAATTAATATGGATAATTATAATTAGTACAGTTAGCATAAGCTTGAATTAGTTTTTGAAAAATTTGAATACAGAGCGAACACTGTATTTAAAAATTGGAAAACATCTTTAAAAATAAATACAAATGGCTATATGTATACATAATTATGTTTATCTAACATTTCAAATATCCATTAAAAAAACTACATTTTGCAATCTGGTAACTCATTCAACTTGTCTCCATTTACGAGTATCACAATTGTATGCTTTAAATATTAAAGTAGAACTAAAAGAAGTCTATGTAAATAACACGTAGTACTCCGTATAATTATGACCGGTTAAAAATAATGTGTAGTACAAATGTTCTTTTAATCAAAACTACAATTTAAGTTAAGAGACTTAATATGAGGGTTTCTCAATTAAACCACTTCATCTCCCCTCAGACAATTTCTTCTTCTCACGCCACACTATTATCAATTTAATACCTGCATTGAATCGATCTATTAGGAAGAAATATTGTTTTAACACATGCGATAATTATTGTGAGTTTTTCATATTTTTTTATTTTTTATTTTATGACTTTTTTCTGGTGAGGAGGTGTTTTTGAGGACTTATGAAATCAGTTCATTTTCCAAGCATCTCCATTTCTTCTTATCTTTCTATTCACGGCATTTTAGTGTTATTTTGAAATTTCATTCCTTAAAAAATCTAGTTGTATCTTGTTCCAACAATTTTATTAAATCGATTTTGAGAGTTTCACAATATTTTGTTGCAATTGTTAATTTCAAAGTTATTGTGATGCTTTTTTAGGTGGAATCATTATATGTTTATCTATATTCATGATTTCCTATGAAAATTTGTCTTGTCAAAAAGCAAAAAAACAAACTAAAAGATTTTATTTTAAGTAAGATGCTCTCTTAATTAAAGAAGCTACTCCTCTTTGAATTACTAAACAAATTGCGTTCACCGACTTCATCTCTTTGGAAATTGACTACTTCATACTACCTCCGCCCCATTAGAAGGTTCTCGTCTACTATTCACATGATCAACTTAAATCATTTTTAATCTTTTACTTTATAAATCAATTTTTTATTAAATTTACATTTTTATCAGGTTTTGTAGCGGTTTTAATGTAGTTTCTGAATATGTTAATTTTATTAACTAAAAATAATAAGAGTGTGAACAGGGATTAAATTGTTTTATTGTCAGTCAAGTATCGTAAACCGTCAACGGGGAACCTTCTAGCGGGACGGAGGGAGTATTTGTTTAAAAACTGACAAACATGCAATAATTCATTTAATTGAAATAACCAATCAGAGTCCATTTAAAAACACATTCTACCTTTTCTGGTACGCACTACACAACTTAGCCAACCCAAACAAATCGCTCACTTCTGCGTTTATCCAGATGAATATGATTTACCGGCAAATCTTAATTCATATGTCAATCTCATCGCTTTACTGCCTTTTTCTATAATATACAATTTTAAAAAGTGGGAGCCGCGGAATCAAGCTTGTATATATATTGATTTTTTCAAAACTTTAGAAATATATCGAAATATTTCAAAGATAAATCAGATTAAAAACTTACCAACAAAATAGAAAGTTTGATGTAAACAATAGTTAGCCTTTTATAAAGAACGTGATAGCCTGAGTCATGAAGATTGAATCCATATAACCCGGATATGAATCTCCGCTATCCTTTATTTCCCATGTTGACTTGGTTTGACCGATATCTTTAATCATGCATGCGGACAATTTTAATGGGTTATTATTTTAAATGGTTATTGATGAGAAGAACAACTGCTCTTATATACAGGCGTTTGAATGCTTAGAAATAAAGTACCCATGCATATGAGTATATATTGGGAAACTCAACGTTCCACTTTGATTTCTTCCCAAAGTTACTACGGATCAGAGTATTAAATATGAGCTGTATTGGTCCGACTTTTAAAGCAACAACCTGTTATTATTTTGCATATTTAATAGATCCAGCCATCATTTCATCTCGATCAGCGGTATTCATCTACGGGATACGGAGTATTTCTTAGCAACTTTCTAGGCAGGATTCTTGAGTTGGAGCTACACTACATCTCCATACACCTTGTAGCTTTTGGCGGGAACTTGCTTTGCAAGTTTCCTTTTGCTATTATATTATAATAGATTTGCGATTTGTTTTTTATTTTGTGTTCCTGTTTGTAAGACGTTGATTTTGGATGTGGGGATGAAAGAAATATGTTGACCGTTTATGGCTTAAAGTTTCCCACTTTTGGATCAACGAATTATATTGCTTCGTTGGAGGTGATTAATTCTGAGTCTGGTTTCCGAGATAGCGGTTGTCAGGTTTCTTTTTGTCTTTTGACTCATACTCTAAATTATTTGTTATTATCCATATAAAGCTGAATTCTTCCAAAAAAAAATCTATAAAAAAGAATTGATCAATTTTTTAAGCCTTTGTAGGCCCCGCCTTTTTTGCTGCCCTTTAGGTGTTTGAACCGAACACAGTAACACACCCTAGGTCCCTAACCACATCATCTTCTTCTTCTTGTTCAAGTGTTCATCACGACTGACGAGGCGACAACTACTCTTCATCAGCAGAGTCGGCACCAACCAGCACCGTCCGCCGCACCCCCGCGAACACGCAAGCCGCCACTGGCTACCGCGCAGCCCTGCCTCCCGCCGCACCTGCAAGCCGGAAAAAATTCCGCTACTTACTACTTAGCTAGGTAAACCTAAATTAGAAATTGAATTCCATATTTTGTTCAAAAGAAAAAACTCCCAGATTCATTAGTAATCTTTTATGATATATATTTTTTTAAAATCAGATTCAGTTACTCATTTACCATTTTTTTGTTCAATTAGTAAATTGTGGGTTGCTGAAATTTCAATTACTGAAATGTAGGATCTTGAAATTTGTTCTTCCTGCTAATACCTAAAGTTTATCTTCCGGTTTATGATACCTCAAATTCATAGCAAACCCCAATGCATCTGCCTAGTTGTTCCACCTCAATCATAGCTACTACTGACCAACACGTGCTGGGCATTTTCACTACATTGCCTATTTAGAATGTTTGATATCATAAATCAGTATTCGTAATTCGTAATTTTCTGTAATTCGATTGTGATTTGTGTTGAACTTTTTCGGGCAATTTATAATACGATTGTGATTAATATCATTGTCTGTATTAATCTTACTACTTAGACATTTTGTATTAAGTTATTAGTATTAACATGATTGTGATTTGTGAGTATTACTCTCATTGGTTAGTATTAAACTATTAATACAATTAGTTTTTGTTAGTATTATTTCTCTTGTTCCTAATATACTTGTAAGGACCTTTTGCTAATTTCAACTTATTGTATGATGTGGTGGATTGTCGTGGAGCAAAAATGTTAATGAAGGTAGGCTTGAAGAGTTACTATAAATCTGTTGAAGTAGAAGCTAATGAAGATATTTCAATGAGAAATTGAGAATTGTAATGGCCTCTAGTAGATTTAGTTGAAGAAACTTCAAATAGATTATGTAAACCCATAGAGAAAAAGGTATCTTCTTGATAATAGACAATGATGTCATTATGAGGCGATATCATTCTATGAAAACTTGCAAAGTACAATTATCAATTTGTGATGTGTTTTTCATATTTGGCTTCAATGTAAATTCTTATTCTTGTAAAACTTTTGTGGTATTTATTTATGTATTTTACTTTTTATGCAATTAATGTTATATTATATGTATGAAAACTTTGCCCCCACCCGGATTGAAATGCTAGATCTGCCCCTCAGCATATGGCTGTATTTTTTTTCAACTTGTCAAGTAAATTTTAGGATAATCTAATGCAGTTTACATTTTTATCTGTACCTTAATTTTTCATATATACGAACAGGTGTGTTGAAGTCTTGAAGAAGCTAAGATTTAAGGTGTATTGTGATGTTGTATTCATTACTAGGGGTTGTGAAGAAAAATGGACGACCATACAGACAACTAGCTATCTTTCTTTTTCTCATCAGAGTCTTGTAGAGTCTTCCAGAATCTCTGCGAACCTGATTCCCTACCAATGTTTTGTTATATGATGTGCCTTTCTTATATATGGTCTTATGCATCATATAGAGTGCATGTGAGAGAGTAGTACACAGAAGAGATAGGAAACTGTATGAGTCTACTTTATGCGGCATAGGAAATAAATCCAATTCACTGTCCATAAGAAAGGCTCCATACTAACTCACTGTTCTACAATAAAGTTTAATTAATTAATTAATTAATTAATTTATATTTTCTGATTTAGACACTTAAAGTAACTGAAATTTGCTAATTAGTTTTTCGATTGTTAGCTTATCTATTTTATATTTCTAAGCGTGTCATGCATTGGGATTTTAACAACATGTAATGGCTCTTTCCCTTAGGAGATCACCCTGAAAATCACAGGAACTTCTATCTTAGCCGATCACAAAACTGAACTACAAAAGTTCTTCTAACGAGTGTATTGGTAAACTTAACAGCATAAATGCTTGAGACTACAACATTGGACATGGAAGGAAGAGTTGGCAGGCAAGTTTTTTTTCTTTTTGAAATCAAGTTACTCTGTATTTCTTTTTCATCTCATCTTATAACCAGTCCAGTTAAATAGTCTTTTTTCTGAAAAACTTTAAAGAATAGTTAGTATATGAGTATATCATTGTGTGTGTATATGCATTCCCTTCATTTTTATTAGAGAAAATTTCCCAAAGTAAGAGTAAAAGCAATGTAATATTCCAAAACACGAGTACTATATCCCCCCTAAATACAAGTAAGTTACTGCCATACTGAAATCATACTATCATATTTGGCATTAATTGGCATTATTAAAATATTAATTAATGCCATAATTGGCTGTATTTTCCGAGCACAACTGAATTACTACTCCGTAGTATTTAGTGAAAAATATAGTACTACTCCCTTCGTCCCAAATTGATGGTCCTATACTTTTTGGGTTCAAATATTAAGAAAGTGGGGGTAGAATGACTCATATAACCTTACTTTATTGCACTGTTCATTCCTTTACTTTTGTTGTGCACAAAAGGAGGGGTATAAATGGTAATCTACTTTAAATTCCTTACCAAAAAGGGAAACAACACCATCATTTTGGAACAACCCAAATAGGAAATACAAGACCATCATTTTGGGATGGAGGGACCGAGGGAGTACTATTTTGGAATATCATTGATGGAGACATGGAGTATACTATCTTAGATCAGAGGGCCGAGAGTACATATTTAGTGTTGGGCCTAGTTTGGAGTTGTAGCTTAGATTTCAGCCCATGGTATTACGTAAGCCCACAAAGTCTTCTATATAGATGTAGTACTGTATTGTAAAAGGACTATTTCTCTCTCTTGGGGTTACAAGATTTAGGGGGTGTTTGGAACTGATTCTGATTCTGCTTCTTTTTTAAAGCAGAATCAGAATCAGTTTTCAGAAGCTGGTCACCCCCAGCTTCTAAAAAAACCGATTCTAGGAGTAAATTAGAGCACCAGAATCACTTCTTCACTTTTACGGTTTTACCCAAACACTCCAACTTCTGCTTCTGCTCCCTGAAGGAGTAGAAGCAGTTTTAAGAATCAAATCCAAACACCCTCTTATATTGATGTTATTATAGTGAATCGACTACACACTCTCTCTAGAATTTTACTACTACTTCTCTCTACCCGGTCTAGCAATAACCCATCAATTACATTGTTCTTACTCCCATTGAAGTCAACTTTTTTTAGTTGGTTCGTATTTATTTTTCGGAAGTTTTTAATTGTTCTTTCACTTTCCTGCTCGACAATTTTAATCATATCAAATGCACAAGTACACTCATTTCTTTATCCTCTCCTTCTTTCTTTTTCTACTTTCTCATCTACGATCTTCTATTTATTCACTACCCCTACAATTTCTCACTCAAAAACCGTGAAAAGCCTAGAAAATCTTACAACAATGAGATTATATATATGGGGTAAGGTTCACAGTCGAATCTTGATAAACACTATGCTCAAATCTATTAAATGGGAACTTTTGACCTCACCTTTCATTTCTTAATCAATACTTCTTAAATCTTAATCAATGACTAACATTAGTATTTTTTTAAAATTTAAAAACTCAGGCCAATTATAACAATGACACATTGTGAATGTAAGTTATTGATTAGGATCTGAAAGGTGGAGATTAAAAGCAGTCTTTTAAAAATCGAACCTATTTACCTGGTCAGGGTACTTGGTTGTTGAACATGTGAATTACTAACATGACTATATACATATTGAGTAAAATAATATACACTTGTAAATATTTTGTAACAAGTATGATAAATATTGTGTGTATAGTGAATTTGAAACATGCGTGAATGATGAGTTGTAATAATAATAATGTACAATCACCTATTCCGCTTTATTACATACTAGATAAAACAACTCATATATGTTTAACACAAGTATGAAGTATACATAATTGTCTTCACAATTTAGTGGGTTGAGTGTATGCTCGTGAGATAGAGGTCTTGATTATGAATCCTACACGTGTTAATTATGTAGAGTTTGAGTTGCTTTTGCTGTGGGATAGATATAAGCCCTATGTTTAATGAACATATGGATTGTAAATGGTAATCATCATGGCTTAATGGGATGATTTTATAATTGTGATTAATTTTAATAAAAAATAGAGTAAAGTTAAATGGACAGGGTCAACTAAGGCCCACGGCCCACCCTACCAGTTCTATCGGAGATCTGGCTGGGTTGTTCCAGTTTCCAGTAGGTCAACTGTTCCAACATCTAACTCAACAAACTATACCTCCGATTCTCAACTGAACTGGCTGGGCGGAGCCTAGTTTTAAAGTACAAATACGAAGTTTTCATTTAAAAGTTGTAGCTTCTCATAAGAGGGGTTCTCTTGTGAACCCATCCTTTTATATAAATATATATGAATATCCATTTGCATGTGCTGATTTCATGTTTGGCTGAATATCCAGTCAAGCTCCTCAGCTGTTTGGGGTGCTGAAGGATATGAAAGCAGGCTTGGATACTGTGAGGTCCAAGGTGCAGGCTTTGACTTCAAAGGTAAGGGAGCTTATGTTTTTCTCAAATCAGTTGTCAAATTTTACGAGCATTCTATTGCTTCATGATATTGGAGAATTGCTATTCAGTGTGTCCTGGATAATTGTATATCATATACCCCTGAATAATGGTAGATAACTGGCTAGATTATGGTCAATGACACTATTTTTTCTAAATAAAGAGGGAGCTGATATATACTTTCCTTGTTGGATCAGCTATATTTACTTTGTTGCACAACTTCGTCTAGTTATGGTTCTAAAATGTTCAGAAGATTGTTAAGTTCTGACTGATATGAATTGCAATACCTATTATACTTTATGTGGTAAGAACTAAGAATGCAACAATGAACGATTGACGTGGGTTGTTGCTGTCACATTTTTATACAGCTTAGTATATATATTTTTTTTTTATGTTTTCTTAGTTGATTTTTTTGCTTCTGTAACTCAAACTTCTGGATTTTATTCTATAGGTGAAAGCAAATCAGTTTCCAACATCAGACGGTATCAGCTATCTTGAAGTGAAACATCTGTTACTTCTGAACTATTGTCAGTCACTGGTCTATTATGTGCTTCGTAAGGCCAAGGGGATGTCAATTGACGGACACCCTGTTGTTCGTAGTCTTGTAGAAATAAGACTCTTTCTGGAAAAGGTATCACAAAAGACCCCAAGCAGGGAAGATAGTTGTCCACTTACGCCCTTGCTATTTATTTTCTGCATCTTATATTGCCTTATAAGTTGGCATGGAGAAAAATGCCTGGGACCCCCTATGGCTGTTGACTTGCTGTTGACTGACTGGGTAAAGTCTGTTGGAAAGCATTTGAGACGTGGAGAGCAAGAAAATGGTTGATGCAATAAACTTGTTCTTGCATCCGACAATAGCAGGGATAGGAGAAAAGTGAGGAACAATATTTTCTTATTATTGCCTGGAGAGTGGAGAACACAAAGGAAAATGGTTTATGCATAATGTTTTTAACATTTGACACACATTTAGGCTTCTTAGTCTTTAATTTTGTATTCTGAAATAAATGAATACAAATAAGTGAGATGAGATCAACACATCTGTAAAGTAATTTATTGACTTTGAGCTTAGCTTGTATGCCGCTTCAAAATCTTTTGGGACTAAGGCCTGGATGTTCTTGTTATTGTGAGCTTAGCTTGTATGCTCCACTGAATTCTCATATCAATATTTTCCCTGCAATGTTTTTCCATCAATACTTTTATTGCTATTCTCATTCCTATTTTTTCCATTGTATTTTCTAGCTTCTAGATAGGTCCTAAATTTATCATCTAAAGAAGAAGAAAGCAGTGCAGATTATCCCATAAAAGGATGTCAAGTGTAAACCAACTTTTCTTTTTTACCTTATTCTGCGTTTTTTCAACTCCATGTGTTGTGCAGATTCGTCCTATTGATAAGAAGATGCAATATCAAATTCAGAAGCTGACAAGAGTATCTGAAACTGCAGCTGAAAAATCAGTTTCGACTGACAAAGGATCAAATACAACTCAAGAGGACTTGTTGAAATATCGTCCCAATCCTGAGTTGATGACTAGCAAAATAAATGCAGAAGTGAGTAGTTTACGAAAAATTAAAAGTGATGGGTTTATTTCCCCCCTCCAAAAAAGCTGTGTTTTCCAATGCACATTCTTTTGAATTTTAATAAGATATTGTGGTCATACTTCAAAATGATACTTCTGTTTTTTATCTAGCTAAACTTATCATATGCATTCCACTATTTTTAGCAAATTGTATGAAAATTTATTTTTGTTTGATCAAAGTGGACAAGCAAGTGTGAAACTTGACTCCTTGTTAAAGATGGGGGGTACATTAAATTTTCAGAAAATAGATTTAAATAATATCAACTATCGTATATCACCAATAATAATATATACTTCCTCCGTCCCACTATAATTGTCCCATTTTTCCTTTTCCGTCCGTCTCACTTAATTTGTCCCATACCATATTTGGTAATATTTGTGTGGCTCTAATTCATTCTTACTTTATTCCCACTTTATCAATTCATTATCAACCACATAACTCTACTTTTCTTTAAAAAGGCACCACCCTTCTTTGTCTCAATCTTAGGGGACAGAGGTAGTACTATATAAATAGCTAGTTCATACCCCAACTTGTGTATTTGTATTCATGTCCATATATGTATATATATATATATATATATATATATATATATATATTTAATATAAATGTCATTTTAACATTCAGAAGCAGAATCAGTTTTAGGGAGCAATTTGAAGCAGTTAGAAGTATTTCTGCACTTTCAAGTTCCAACCAAACACTTCTTCTGCTTTCTGAAGGAGCATAAGTAGTTTTAAGATGTTAATCTAGACATCCCCTATATCTATCTTATCACAGGTCAACAGACAATAGTTGTTATTATCAATATTTTTTTTTCCTTTTATAACTTGTTTTATTTCCTAAATGGATCAAAGTGGTTGAGAAGTACATGACACGATATCCCCTTTAAATGGATGCAAGAAAAGTCATGTCATGCTGTGAACTTTCCCTTTTAATTAGGCACAATATTTGTCTATTAGATTTATATTATGCTTCATATCTGCCATTTGCAGGACTCGAATGGTATCTATAAACCTCCAAAGCTTGCTCCAGCTATAATGGATGAAGGTAAGACATCAAGACAAGAGAGGAATGCTCTGAGGAAGGAGAAAGAGATGCTTCGACAGTCTAAACAAAACACATATGTGAAAGAGTTGATTAATGATATTGAGGGAAAACCTGAAGAGGTTTGTGGCCATTTCTGCTATTTTATCTCTCTCTCTCTCTCAAGGGATATACTTACGTTCTTAATTGTATCTAATCACGAGAGTCGTTCAGTGGAGGGAGTCTGGAGCTGAGAGTAGAGAACTTAGACAGTATATGGATAAGATGGAAATGCGTGATAGAAAAGAGGAGGATCTTTTCAACCGTGCCCCTCTCACAAAATTGGAGAAGAAGCAAATGAAACGTCTAAAGAAGTCACAAAACGGGTAAACCAGATAAATTTGTGTCGCCTGATTGATGTATGATCGATCTGAATGAAGCTTCATATTTTTCGTTGTTTTCGTGCGTTGACAGGTTACTTGGGCTGACCGAGAGTTTTTTTGATGAGGCGATGGCTCTAAATTTTGAAGAAGGTGTTTCTGATCGATCAATTGACTTGGGGGGTAAAGAAAGAAAGCAGCCCAAGAAGCGTAAGGTAATTGCGTGAGATGGCCCATTTTTAACTTTACGTTTAGCTCATGCCTTGACATAATATATTTTGATTATCTTATCTGCAATCCATAAGAATTTGCAAGACTTTAAAATAATTGAACATAGACACATACATGTATGTGCATGTACATGGGAAGGTTGTAGCAAGAATCCATCTTAACACGAGAAGTCCTTATACCGAGAAATTTAATCACTACCTTTCATTTTATTCAATCATTGATTGGGATGCACATAGGTTTCTGATATGGAAAGACGGGTTCTTTGTGTAATTTTTAAAAATTCAAACGGGGGGTATTTTTATAATTATTGTAACATTATTGCAAAAATGCCACCTTGTTGGTTCTAACCCTTGATTGGAAATATGAAAGATGGACATTAAAAGTTCCTATTTATAAATGAGCTCTCATTCTAAAAGGGGTTCTCATTAGAACCCTGCCTGCGTGTACATACAACGTATACATATATATGTAAATTTTGGATAAAAAACAATGCTGTCATCCCACAAAATGAAACTAATCTGGAGCATTGGATTCAAGATATAAGGGCTCTAGATGTGCCAACATGCATCAATTTGATTCTAAAACACAGTGACATTTTGGTGAATAAACCAAATGTTCTCATCAATGCGGAAAGTGCATCATTTTTAACTTGAAGTGAATCATTTTAACTTGAAACTGCATCGTGGGCTAGTAAAAGTGCATCAATATGCATTTTGCATGCGAAGCACAATTTAAACTGGGATTGACATATATATATATATGTATATACAAAAAGAGCCACATTTCATCAATTTATAAGTTGTTTTTATTTATTTATTTATTTTGGCATGACAGAATTCTGGTAAATGATCAATCTCATCTCATACTTATAATCTTTGGAAAACTATAAAAAAGTCAGTCCCTTACATTTCTTGGAACCATTTGGGGGGGGGGGGGGGGGGGGGGGGAGGAAGGGTCTTACATCAGAATCATTTAAGTAAACTTTTTTGTTGTTGAAAACGCTGTATGACTTTTTGTTTAACCAAATACAACTATTCAAACGTAGACTCTATTTTGAGAAATAGGAAGTATTTAATTAATATTGAGGATGCTCTGTGAGTTAACGTTTTCATGTTCACCGGCCTCTGATTATTACTATTACATTATTGTTACTCTATCAAGAGTTCGTTCATTTGGTATTGTTTTACTAATTTTCCACCCCCTCTTATCCGGGTCCTCTGTATGGAGAGCCCTCCTAACGTCTGACACTTGTTCCCTACTCGCAGAGAAGGAATTGATCATCTGAAAAGATCATATATTGGGCTTGCGGACTTCACTTTTCCTTGATCAACAGACGATTATTTCTCCCTTAGCATGAGCAGAGGCTCGTTTTCGAAGTACTTTTTTTGCTGTGTCTGTAGAATAGAAATAGAAAGGCACTGTAATTTTTTGTTCCGTGAGTAGTTTGACTTTTTTGCACAATAAATTTTCACCCCTTGAATGTCAAGGTTTCATCTACCCACCCATCTAATATTGTACCTTTTCTGCCAATCATAAATGTTGGGATGATGAAGTTAACTTATGTGAGACGGTGCAGCTAAAATGCACTCAGACCGTTGAATTTTGCTTGTGAGAAGCGATTTATTTTCAGATCATATAATGCTTGATGATTACCGTTTGAAACTTTGAATGACACCATTTTGTTTCAAACACAATTACACAAATAAAGACAACGGTTACACTAGGTATGAACTCGGGCTGGGTCAACTGGCCTGGCCCGGTACTGTTTCGGGGCGGGCTTCAGGTCATCAACAACATGAACCGGCCTGGCCGGGCCGGGCTAGGTTCGGGCCATTTTTTGTTTTGTTTTTCAAATTCTTTAAAAGGTAAATGGGTTGGGCCGGGTGTTTTGGAGGGGTTTGGGACTTTGGGGTGTGAGGGTGGTAGGAAGTAATTAGAAAATCCAAAAAATAAATAAGTAATGTACCCGGCCTGAGGCTCGGCCCTAACCGGCCTGACCGGACCCGGTAGCTACCTAGGCCGGTTTCGGGCCTCAAGAAACAAAAAAAGACGGTTAGGTCTGGCTTGAGGCCCGGCCTGGACCAGCCCGAGTCCAAGCCTAGGTTACACTATCTCAACTCGAAGGGTAACACAAAATCATGATGGATTGCATTCATAAATAATAGATCCATAGATGCATCATTAACACAGGGGAAGTTGGACACTTAACAGGCAACAGTGCAACACTCAACCTTTCATTCAGTACAACTAGTAGCTCACTCGTGCGATGCACGACAAAAAGCTTAAATACATATAATTAAATAAATGTTCTCAAAAAGCACATTGTTGTATCAATTAAAAGAACTAAAGTTGAATAACAAACATTAGATCTACAAATTTTGAAAAACTCATTTGTAGAGAGTAGTCAATGTTGTGCTTTTTCCGTCACCATCTACTAAAAAAAAATCAGTCCTCTTCTATTGAGTGACTCTGGAAACTAGAACATAAAACTTACCATGAGAGAAAACTGGTTTATTCAACAACAAATTACCCGTATTAACCGCAACATAAAGCTGACCATGAGAGATTTCTAAACAGACTTTCTAAAAGCTTTTGGCCGTGCAGCTTACCCGTGCGATGCACGGGCAGAAAAACTGCATATAAACTACTTCCTTAGAGATAATATTGGTTATCTTCGTTGTACTTTAATCGTCGCCATCCACTAACAAATTTTTAGCCATTTTCAATTGATAACTCTCGAAAACTTGCTTCTTTAATACTCCGTAATAATTATATATGAGAGAGAGATTGGTCTTGACTTTTATTAATTTTCATTGCATAAACGATCATTACAGAAAATTATCTTCTATAAAATTTGAAAGGAAGTCTAGCATCTGAAGGCGCTAGTGAGACTGACTCTGACTTTTTTTTAGTAATTTGGAATTGTAATATAATCACAATTAAAAGTGTTTTCAAACTTCATTTGAACATATAAAAAGTTATACATAGTATAAAATAAAAAGATAAATTTATATTATATAGTAATTTCAATTATTTCAATCAAACTATATTTTTAGTCTTGCTGATTTGAAATAAATCTGAAAAGTCAAAATATGAGTTACCCCATTTAAGAAAATTATATACCCGAAAAAACTATTAAGTGATCATTCCATTCAACTACTTGACCAATCTTTATATATATAAAAAGGGGACGTCTGTCCCCAAAACTGTTCCCGCCCAAGGTAAATTATGCTACTCATGTGTCATACAATGGTTTTCAACCAGAAAAAATCCAAAAATATTCGAACAAAATTATTTACATTACTGGCAGTTACAGAATAACTGCCCATACTATTGCACGTCTACACATGGCCATAATTGACACAACACATAACATTCACTATATAAAAAACCCTTGGTCCAGTCTACTAAACTTGGCTTCAGCAGGGTATATGCTTTGAAAGTTTGAACATCTACTCGAACTTGCTGTTCACAACATTGCAAGGTAAGCCATCTGCACATTTTTCATTTTCATTTTCATTTACCTCAGTGCCGCAAAGGCTCCCACCTACAGTGGAGTAAGGGGGGTCGGATGTACGCAGTCTTACCCCTGTACTAAAGCACAAAGAGACTGTTTCCGAATGACCCATAGTGAAAATCCTGTCCAAAATTGCATGGACTGACTGTTGCTTCATAACAAAGAAGCGCAGACAGTTTAGTGAGCCATTTTGGTTTATTCCATCATAATCTCAAGCCATAAAACTATGAATCTTTGGCTCCATTGCAAAAAATAATGAATCTTTAGTAAGCCATCTGCACATGAGCCAACATAAATCACCTATCAAATACCAGTATATATAGAGGTTGTTTCAACACAATTAACACACCGTTTGTGTTTTCCTTAATTCCATAAGTATTCAAGTGAAAACTTAACGTTTTTTAACATCTGACTCTTCTTATGAAATTTCTTCAAGAACATCAAGAAAGTTGGCCAAATTCTTCAATCTGTTCCATTTCTTAAGTACATTGTTATTGCTTACTACTATTCTGAAGCAGAGTTGCACGCAAAAATATAGAGAAAATGTTGTTCAACCAGAGTCATGACCAGGTACTTTTCAAGGGAAAATTCATATATGCATGTGGCAGTGTCCCTACTTTGATGTCAACAATGCATAAATCAAATATTCTTATTTGGAAGTCAAAACTAAGTACTGGAACTAATTACCTGTAAAGGAAAAAACAACTAGATACATGTTTAATCAAGTTGTGAAAACTAAAATGTCATACGTAGGCACTAATCCATTTAGAAGTTCTTTAATATGCACTTCCACGGTAAATTGAAACAGATTTAGTCTCTCTTTTTTATATGGTACACCTAAACTAATACACATAACTGAATAATGTAATTAACACTGTTAATTATAGTTGTTGCTCAATGAAAACATGATGACAATTTAACAGTGGCGGATCTAGAAATTAAATTTGTTGGGGGCAAATTCAATACAAAAACACATCAAACAAAAAAAATAAAGTGAAGCAAAATTGTCCTAGATAGGAGTAAACATGTTTTGGGCGTTCAAAAAAATAAAGTCCAAAACTATCTTAATTCAACAACAAACAACAACATCCAAACCTTAATCCCAAAAGAATTTAGGGTCGGCTAACATGAATCGATCAATGATATCGATGCCAAACAGAGAAGACGGACAAGAAAGGGAAGAAACAAAGTAACATAAAACAAATAAAATAAAGATAAATAAATATAAGATAACAATAACACAAGAATATAAGAAAGATAAAAGATAAAAAAAGAGCATAAAAGCTAGAATATAAAAATAACATAAGAATATACAAAGATAAAGAAGATAAACGATAAAAGAAAATAGAGAGGAAAAGTAGAACCGTAGAAAGGATATCAATCGTCCACACATATGTGCGCCTTCCACTCTGCTCTCTCCAAAGGCATACTCTCATCCAACCCAAGAAAATGCATATCAGTTCTGATTCCTTTAATCCAAGTCTGTTTGGGTCTTCCCCTACCTCTCTTCTCTACCTCTTCCCCTCCAAAACTATCCTAATTTTTTTTTCATTTACCCCAGTGCCGCAAAGGCTCCCACCTACGGTGGGGTAAGGGAGGGTCGGATGTACGCAGTCTTACCCCTGTACTAAAGCACAAAGAGACTGTTTCCGGATGACCCATAGTGAAAATCCCGTCCAAAATTGCATGGACTGACTGCTGCTTCATAACAAAGAAGCGCAGACAATTTAGTGAGCCATTTTGCTTTATTCCATCATAATCTCAAGCCAAAAAATAATGAATCTTTGGCTCCATTGCAAATGATGGAAAACAAATTGAATGTCAAATTGAATTTACATATAATAGACTTAGATTAACTACCTAATATTCTAATAACAATTTCACCCTAGTAACATATTTTCCAAGCTAGTTAAATACAAAACATTCTGATTTATATTAGATAAGTTAATTTGGATTAATATTGGTATTATTACATAAAAGTGCATTTAAAGTGCACACGCCGTTCAAAGCAAGTCTGTAACTACGTAGTAACTAGTTAAAAAACTTAAAACTTTGGAATTTCAGCCTCTCAAGTTCTCAATGATATGGCTCAAATGCTCCTTTACTTAGACCTCGAGAGTACAAAGAAAATGAGCAAGTTAATAGAGTCAAGAACGTTTATTTTCACACTCCGACTCTTCGGCCATCCCTTGAATATCCGTGCTCCAAATGCACACGTTGTATGCTTTCTCCAACTTTATTTTTGGGATAAGGTTATTGGGGGCAAGCCCATTATTTTGTTGGGGGCAAACATTTGATTTTCTTGTTTATATATATTTGTCATAATGTATTCTATGAGATAAGTGGATCTTTATTGGGGGCACCTGCCCCCATCCTTTCAACGTAAGTCCGCCCTGATGACAAATCAACAATAATATAATTTACATTGTATAAATCATGATTTTGGTCAATATGTTTACTCCTAAAATCACCCATCACTAACGTAAAATTCTATGATACATTAGTGAAATATAATTTTCAATGTCTGATCCAATGAAAAAATTCATATAATTGATTGATAATATTTTGTAAAACATTGTTAAAACAAAGTTGATGAGTAATAATCCGTAGTATGCACATGATGGTGTTTAATTATTTATTGGTTTTGGTGTTTTTCTCCACTTCATTTGTGTTCAAAAGATCAGATATATTAATAACTTGAATGATTGAAAGTAATCATACATGCGGATTTATTTTATACTAATTCTCAACTATTTGATTTTGTGAAATTTTAATAAAAATAGAATTAATCAACATAGAATTCATGATATATTAAATTCTATATTAATATATTGTTTTAAGTTATCTGGGTACATTTTTATCTTGCATGTCTTTATTTGATAATGCTGTATTTATTTACTATAACAAGATATATTAATACTTTTGTTATATTTTATGATGCACCTAGTATATTCTATTTGAATAATACAATTATACAACAACAACAACAAGAATAACAACAACATCCAAGCTTTAATCCCAAAAGAATTTGGAATTGGCTAACATGAATCGATCTATGATAATGATGCCAAACAGAGAAGATTGACAAGAAAGGGAAGAAAAAAAAGTTATGTACTCCATATTTCATACCAAGTTGAATGAGGAATATTGAAAAATATTTTTTGAGGCGCATAATAAAGTAAATTAGAGGATATGAAAATAATTAAGAAGCTTCTCTATGAATTCGTTAAAATCGGGTTCATAACAATTATGCTTAGTAGAGAAGCTTATGTAGAAGACTATTTATACTATTTTTCATATAATTTTTATTTATTTAACAAATGGAATATATATTTTTTTCATGATTCGGGATATTCACCTATTCAACTAGAATTTAATTAATTGCAGCAAAATAAACCGATTCCACCAATATTAGTATCATCAAACAAACTTTATATTTAGACTGAGTTTATTTTGCTTTTACGTCACATTATATATGATTCCGAAAACCAATCAAATTTTAAATTAGATAAATTACATACCGCCCGTGCATCGCACGGGCTTGAAACCTAGTACTCCTAATACTCTGTATAATTTTTTTCTATCAAGAACTCCTGACATAATAACAAGGCCCGTCAGATGAAACATTGAAGTATAAATTAAAAAATAAAATGTGTGCTTCAAAGGGAAATATACAAAGAAATATATAGCGCCTTAGCTTTTTAAAAAATGCACCTAAGATCATGGGTTATCACTAATTTTGTACGATTAATTTGCTAGTTGAAGAATTGAAACAATAGAAAATGTTGAAATCTTCTCAGGGAATTGCGTCAAAGACGCATTCATAAAACTAACTGAATATGGAAAGAGAGAGCGATCATAAGCTGCGGCCTAGGATCGGATCCAAACGAGAAGAAACAAGGAGCAATTTAGCAATGGCCAAGAAGACAGTAAGCTTTCTCGTTCTTACATTTTTACAGTTTGTATTATTACTGCATTAAAATTTTCAAGGGAGGAATGGCTAGCTAGTTATACCATTCTGCATACATATGAGTTCATCATCATATTTGTATAATTGTATGCTTAATTATTAAAATAGGACTGAAAATCATTCACTTTACGGGCACAAATAGAATAAAAAAATAAACTATGTTGTTATAGGACTAATTATGTGTATCTTGGACAAATATATCCTTATAGCTATTGAAATGTTTTAATTCATAATAAAACAATAAAAAATAATAAAAATTCATAAATAATAATAAAAATATTTCGATAATAATAATTTATTTATTTATTTTCAAAAAAAAAAAAAAAAAAACTCAAAAAAATAAAATAAAATTCACCGCCGCCTCTGCACCACCACCCCAGTCACCAGGGGAAAAATGCCAAGTTCATTACGAATGCCATATTTATGGCAGAAAACAATGAAAATGTTGGCATTCTAAAAGAGAAATATGCCATGTGTTTGACATTTTCTAGAAAAAATGGCAGTTTTTAGGAAAAATAAAAAAAAATTCACCGGACGGAGATGGTGGTGCAGGGAGGTAGTACATGCGGTGGGAAAGACATCCATATTTGTTTAAATTTTTTATGGATTTTTACTATTTTTATTATTTAAAAAAAATATTTTTTTTATATTTATTTTATTAATATTTATAAATTTTTTAATTATTTTTCTACGAATTTTGAATTTATTTCAAATTTATTATGAATTAAACATTTAATTAACTCATATTTAAAGGAAGGGTAAGAATAGAATGAAAAAATAGGTATGTTTCCAATAGGACTAATATGATCCTATTTTGAAAAAACAAACATAGCAAGTCTTATTTTGAGTTTTGAGTTTTTGAGATAGTTTTAGTCCTATATGGAGTAATTTCTATATTTGTATTTCGGGTGTTTGTCAAAATTATTAAAGATGTATATATTATATATATCGTGCAATAAAACTACTTGAAATAGAATGAACCCCTAATTTTGACGATTGACCAACGAATATCGAGTTGAATGACTAAATGATGAATTTGATGATGGCAGTGCTTCATGACAATGCTTAGTTAATTTGTGTGTTTCCTATATATTTACTTTTTAATGTACATATAATCATTTTTATCGAGACATAAGTTAAACTTCTACTGTATCAATGAACAATTTCTAATTTCCGATTAATAACCTTCTACATACTTCGTAATATCTTGCATATATGGATATACCTGAATAATGTTTATCAAGGTATTTAGTGTTATGGTGGTCTATCTTATTAACACATAATAATTATGTACATAATATGTATATTTCATAACCTACGTACATATTATATCATACTTATCTTTATGATAGTTAGCACTCCCTATTATGTAGCATACTTAGCTTATCCCCTTAGATATTCACGTAATCAGTTACATAGAGTTTATCTCTACCCAAATCATGTGTATAAATATGTACCGCATGTATTCATGTTAATATAGAACATTCAATACTTTACATGGTATCAAGAGCCATTCTCTAACGAGAACATCTTCCCAAATTTTTTTCCGGTTATCATCTTCTCTTCTCTGCCCATGGCTATCACCGCCAATACCACTGTGATATCTATCACAGCCACCATCCACTTTCCCATCAAACTCACATCTTCCAATTTCCCAGTCTGAAAATCTCAAGTTCATGCCACTCTTATTGGACTTGGACTAGATTCTTATGTTGATGGAACTCTCACCATTCCCGACAAATTCACCAACGAAGCAAAAACTATTCCCAATCCCTGCTATACCATATGGTACCGGCAAGACAAAACTATCCTCAGTGCTCTACTGGGAAGCTGCTCCGACACTATACAACCGCTTATCTCACCAGCCATTACTGCCCGATCAGCATGGGAGAAACTTGCTCTCACATATGCCAGCACCTCTCGTGGCCGCGTCATATCTCTCAAGACTACCCTCGCTCGTACGAAAAAGGGCTTTCGCTCTATCACCACGTACCTTGCCGAAATGTATGCACTGACCAAAGCACTAGCCCTTGCACAAAATCCCTTGTCCGATGAAGACCTAGTCATCAATATTTTGAATGGACTTGGACCTGAGTATAGTGAATTAACATCTGCCATACGTGTCCGCGAGACGGCCCTTCCTCTCACCCAACTTCAAGATATTCTTCTTGAGCAGGAGGGTAAAATTCAAGAAAATGTTAGTTCCACGTCTGACTTATTGCCTACAGCCCATGCTACTCAGACTCACGATCGCTCCTACCTTGCTGACTCACGCCTGCAACAACAACATGTTCTTCGTGGTTCCTTCTCTCGTAGTGGACGCGGAGGCCACCATCAGAACACCTCTCGTTCCGCAGCTACATCTCTCACCTGCCGATTTTGCGACAACATAGGCCATGAAGTTAAACACTGCCGGAAAACTTCAGCGGTTCTTACGTGATAATAAGGGTCCGTTCCCTGCCACACCAACAGTCAACACTACCATGTCCACATCTACCTCTAGCCAACCATGGCTCTTTGACAGTGGTGCTTCCCACCACGTTACGTCCGATGTTTCGCAACTTCCGACATACGCCGACTACGGCGGGCCTGAAGAAGTTATACTTGGTAACGGTAAGTCCCTACCCATTACACACACTGGTCAATCCACCCTTCCCACACCAACCCGACCATTAACTTTATCTAATATACTGTGTGTTCCCCGATTACAGAAAAACTTAATCTCCATTGCCAAATTATGTAAAACTAACCCAGTTTCTGTTGAATTTTTCCCCTCTTATTTCCTTGTCAAGGACCGAGTCACGGGGGCGCCTCTACTCCGCGGAGAGAATCGTAACGATGTTTATTATGCACCAGCATCCTCCTTATCATCACCAGAAATCCATATGTCTCAAGTCAATCTGTCAACACCTTGGCATCATGTGTTTGGTCATCCGTCCCAGAAAATTTTTAGTCTGCTAGTTCGTCAAAATAAAGCCATGTTTCCCAATAATAAATTTACGTTCAGCCATTGTAATTCTTGTTCCATAAATAAAAGTACTCAATTGCCATTTTTTAATAATTCTCTTACTGCTACCAAACCACTTGAATTGATTTACTCAGATGTTTGGTCCACCAGTGATATCTCTTTAGATGGTTACAAGTACTACGTAATATTTGTTGATCTTTACTCTCGGTACATTTGGTTTTATCCCATGAAGCAAAAATCCGAGGTCTCCATTCTTTTTCCTCAATTTCATCCATTGGTTGAAAAGTATTTTAATTTTAAAATAATCTTTCTCTTTTCCGATAATGGCGGTGAATATATTAAATTAAAATCTTATCTCAACCAACATGGAATCTCTCACCTTACCACCCCACCTCATACTCCCCAACACAATGGTATAGCTGAACGTCGCCACCGTCATATTGTTGAAATCGGCCTCACATTATTTCATTATTCGGGTTTACCCCGATCTTATTGGCCGTATGCTTTCCAAACAGCCGTCTACCTTATTAATCGGCTTCCTACTCCCGTTCTCAATTATAATACTCCTTATCAATGTCTCTACCAAAAACGGCCAAATTATAATAAATTGCAACCTTTCGGATGCTTATGCTATCCATGGTTACGTCCATACTCTTCCACCAAACCCGAACCTCGGTCTACCCCCTGTGTATTTTTGGGATATTGCACATCCCAATCTGCCTATCTGTGTCTAGATATTAATAGTGGTTGTGTATATGTTTCTCGTCATGTTCGTTTTGTTCCTCATATTTTTCCATTTTTATCCAACTCTTCATCTATCTCGTCTGGGCCATGCAATTCCATGCATTCTCCATCGCTTGCGATTTCTACCCCCGTTACTTGGTCCTGTGGTCCCCTCCACTCCTACAAATTTTATCCCACCCGAATCTCTTTCCCCAAATTCCGCCCATCCCTCCCATCATCAAACCTCTCATTATTCATCCTTATCCTTATCCCCAACCGACCCATCACAACCACATGACTCATCTACCACCCCTACCTCCCATATTAATACACCTCACAATCCCACTAACACCTGTAATTCCCCCACGACAACATTTACCCACCAAACTGACACCTCTCAACCAACCCATGCAGCCTCTGTCTCTCAGCCTAGACCCCTACGCCACCGAAAACCAAATCCCAAATTTTTTGGGGAATCATATGTTAACAACACTACCCTTCACCCGATACCCCCTACCTTTGAACCGGCCAATGTAAAACAAGCTCTTCAGGACCCTAAGTGGAAGGCGGCTATGGATGAAGAATATGCAACACTTCAACGTAACAACACATGGGAACTGGTCCCACGCAATCATCATACTCCTATAACCTGTAAATGGTTATTTCGGGTCAAACGTAATGTGGATGCCAGTGTTAGTCGTTTCAAGGCAAGGTTGGTGGCGCGTGGTTTTCTTCAGCAACCTGGCCGTGATTACACTGAAACTTTCAGCCCGGTTACTAAACTTGCCACCATCCGTATTATACTCACTATAGCTCTCTCTCAAAACTGGGACATTCGCCAACTAGACGTCAACAACGCGTTCTTGCATGGATCACTCACTGAAGAGGTGTACTTGACTCAACCACAAGGTTATGTGGACCCCGCTCGCCCCACACATGTCTGCCGGCTTCGTAAGGCCCTATATGGCCTTAAACAGGCCCCTCGGGCATGGTATATGGAACTCTCTCGCTTTCTTATGCAAATGGGTTTTCGCAAATCACAGGCAGACAACTCTCTCTTTATTTATTCTCACGGAGGCACTCTGCTTTATTTCCTTGTGTACGTGGACGATATCGTCCTCACTGGGAACTCTCAACGTGCACTTGATCAGTTTGTTGGACAGCTTACTACTCACTTCTCTGTTAAAGATTTGGGACGTCTTCATCACTTTCTTGGTATTGAGGTCATACCTACCCCGACGGGTGTCTTTCTCTCTCAACGGCAGTATATACTTCATATCTTGGATAACTGTAAAATGTCTAGTGAAAAAGATGCTACTACACCTATGAGTTCTACTCTTGTAGAATCTGTTGCTGACAGTCCTCCTATGGCTGACCCTCAACTCTATCGTCGTGCCCTGGGATTACTCCAATATCTAGCTTTCACCAGACCAGATTTATCTTTCTCTATTAATCGGTTATCTCAGTACATGCATCATCCTTCAGAGCATCATTGGCAGGCCGTTAAGCGGATTCTTCGTTATCTTAAGGGAACAATAAATTTTGGTCTTTTTCTCCGCCGAAACTGCTCACTTAATCTCACTGCATTCTCTGACTCGAACTGGGGAAATATACTTGATGTTGGTCGTTCAACAACTGCCTATGTTCTATATCTTGGTTCAAATATCATCTCCTGGAAATCTGCAAAACAGAAGTGTGTTTCTCGCTCATCCACTGAGGCCGAATATCGGGCCGTCGCACATGCTACCGCCGAATTATTATGGGTCCAGAATATTCTCCGTGAACTTCGTATCAGTATATCTCAGCCTCCGGTTCTATATTGTGACAATCAAGGGACAACATATGTGTGTGCCAATCCGGTCTTTCATTCTCGCATGAAGCATTTAGCCCTAGATTATTTCTTTGTTCGGGAGCTTGTGGAACAAGGAGCTCTGAAGGTTCAACACATCTCTACTAAACTTTAAATTGAGGATATTTTAACAAAGCCACTTGGAAATACTTCGTTTCTACAATTTCGTCACAAGCTGGGAGTTTCTGACGGAACCTCCATCTTGCGGGGTGTATTAACACATAATAATTATGTACATAATATGTATATTTCATAACTTACGTACATATTATATCATACTTATCTCTATGATAGTTAGCACTCCCTATTATGTAGCATACTTAGCTTATCCCCTTAGATATTCACGTAGTCAGTTACGTAGAGTTTATCTCTACCCAAATCATGTGTATAAATATGTACCGCATGTATTAATGTTAATATAGAACATTCAATACTTTACGTATCTTATGTAAGTTGCATTATTTATTTCTTTGACATGTTTCAAGAGAATCCAATATATTTTCTATGAGTCATTGATATGACTACTCTATGTAAATTCAATTTCTCATTTTTCAAAGTTGAATCGTATAAGTATTCAAATAGACCAATAGATGTATGTTTGGAATCGGGTTCTCCCTCTCTTTACATTATTGTTATTCTTTTATGTTCTAAGTTTTGACGGTAATACTTTACAGACAAAATGGAAGTCATTCTAAGACAAGATCTGTTCCACCACCTTTACCTAACAAATGATATTGGGAGGTTGATCCTTCTGAGTTGGACTTCTCAAACTATGTTATTATATATAGGGAAGGTGAAAAAAATGATTGTTTGACATATATATAAAGCTAATTAATACCAAGTACATATCCCTAACTTATAAGGTTGATGCATCAAACCATCTCGTTATATACAAATTATCCTCATTAAACCTTGTGGTTTAGAAATACACTATGTATTGTAACTAATCGATCATGCACATAACATCTTGAAGCAACAAATTTATTATTTTGTAATCATGTGTGAGTAAATACATTTAAACACCTAAAACATACAAACGTACCAGACATTGTTGTTTTATTCAACGCTTAAACTTATTCTTCTAGGGTATTAACACAAAAGGCTTTGATGCATCTTTTGAATCATAAGAAGCTAATGCATAGAATTTGTATATCACGAGGGGTTTGATGCAGTAAACATAGGTTATGTGTAATTTGTTATTCTTCATTATAGTTGCGAGAGTTGTATTTTATTATAGTATATGTTTTATTGTGTATGTAAACAAACAGGATGTCATTCGACGAGATACTCCTGTTGCTGTAAATTAAAACGTATTCGATCTTCCAAACCTTTTAGATGACCATTTGGTGATGTAAGATGCTTTTACGGGATTCACAAGATTCCCTTCAACCGTCATAGAATGAAATAGCAGTCCTTCCTTAGTTATATAGCGACATAGATCTATTTAGGACATGTTTCTTCATTAAAAAAATGTAATCTGGTTTGCATGTTCAAGATGTATAATTTCTTATGGATTAGAATGTCTCGTGTATTTGTAATCTAAATTTATTGTTTAGATATAAAAGATGTTCTTGCCTTGGTCTTGTTAGACTTTTTTGAATGTTTTAGAGCCAGTTTGAATAAATCAAAATAAGTAATAAATTTTAGAATAAATTTGATTTTCAGTTAACTCAACCCTAATGTTTGCTTTTGATAAAGTCATGATATCAGGCAATATGTAAATTTGTTGGTCAAACTTCGCCACCCAAATGTGGTTCAATTTCTTGGAGATGTTACTAATAAAAGCCTTTGATGTTGATTACAGAGTACTTAAGAGGGGTAACATTTTTACATCCCTCAATCAATTTATATATTTCTTTATGTTAACCGGTTGCCGCCACGGGATTCCCGAGCTTCTTGTCATGAGAGCAAAATCAGCAAGTGGTCCGAAGTATATATGTACCGGAACAAGGTGATCTTCGTCAACACCCGAAGGACATAGCTAGGTAATTGCTATTCAATTAGTATTTTTGCATCTTCTTTGTCAATTCCGACCAATGTTCTCAACATAATAAATTGTACTACGTATAGTTATATGGGCAGAAACATGGCTTATCTTGAGAATCAGCCTACTGTTATTATTCACAGAGATCTAAAACCAAGACTAGTTATGTCTTTCTAATTTACTTGAGTTGAGAGGTGATGCTGAAATTGTCATTCCAATAACTAGAATGGTGGGTGTGGATATTCTCTTAGGAATGTTCTTCTAGTTAATTCAAACATGAGCCATCTAAAAATAGCAAAATTTGGATTAAACAAGCTAGAAGTGGTAAGAGTGTTTTCTTTTGTATTCTCGACTCTCGAGTGACTTGCTTCATAATTGATTGCTCTTGTGACTTCTTAAGTTTTCAATACATCCCTTCTATAGATCGGTACATGGCACCAAAAGTTTTGAAGCACAAGAAATATGAGATATGTTTGGTTTTTTCAAATAATCAAGATTTGAAAACAAAGGGTTAAGACAGAAAGAAAAACTCATAAAATGAATAGTGGGTGATGAACTAGCCACCGACCCAACCCAGGCCCAGCCCGATCCCGGTTCCAACCCTGACCAGTACCGGGCCTTCGTCCCAAAACCCAATCCGCCCCAATCCCTGCCTAACCCGGTCCATCCCTACACCGACCTACTTTTGGAGCAAAATGATTTATAAAGCTAAAAGAGTGATACGTTTTTATCCATCACTGGATTTTTAAAAGCATTGAACTCTAACTTTGTTTTTGGGGGTATTTGTAGACTAGTTGAATATGTGTTTGGAGCCTTCATTGGAATATGTTTGGTTCATAATAACCACCAAGCTAAGATTTCCCACCCCACACCTAGATTTAATACTTTACGTTTTATATACACAGTATAGTCAAACCAAAGTAAGGCATGTTTGGAGAGGAGCAACAACAAAATATAGTTAATTTAATATTGAATAGAACATGTTTCTTTTCATTCAGTGTATTGATCTACAGAAGCAACACAAAAAATATATAGTTAATTTAATATTGAACAGATCATGTTTCCTTTGTATTCAGTGTATTCATCTAGTACATCAGAGGCAGGATAAAAGAAGAAGAAAAAAGACATCATATAAGCTTCTTCTTTTCGAAGAAGGTCTTCAAATACCATACTTGCAGCCCAGCCACAGACAAAGCAACAAGAACCGACAAAAAGGACAGCAGATTCATTTTGGAGTGGGTTGATCTATTTAGCTCCTGCATCTCTTCTTCTCTGCAAAGTACACAAATCCCTTATTTTCCTTTTATTGCCTTCATAAAAAGTTCTGCTAAGCCACCATACATATGGACATCACAAGTTTTGATTAAGTTAGTTACCTTTCGCGAAGATAGAACATCTCATCATGGATGGACTGGACAGTTTCATACATTTTCTTTAGTTCTAATTCCATCGCCTAAAACAAACAAAAAGCGATGAGCAAACCATTAAAAAATTAGGGCTCATGCTACGTAAAGAGCATATAGAGCACCAAGTCGCACCAAGTCACAGCTACTTTAAAGATCAACTTAAACCATTTCATCTGGAAAAATCCTGCAATACACATTTTCATTTATGCTAGCAACAGGGGCAGTGGCAAGGGCAGGGGCAGGGTAAAGCTCCTACAAATTTTGATTCATTATATGTAAGCATTTTCAGTTTTTATTCTTTCCTTGTATACTATACTTGACTAAATTGAAAATGTTAATCATTTCCATCTAATTCACAATTTATAAATTCAGCTTATTTATTTCTTAATGCCCAAACCACAAGCAAATAATTCTTTAATCCGCAGTTGTGTATGAATGATTTCAATAGTTTAATAAATATAGAAAATATGAATTAACTTGTGGATCTAACTACTATTTAGGCTATAATTTGTAAAATTCTTAAATCATATTATGAATGTAATGTGTATTAAATATTATTATGCGACATGTTTCAAAAGTTTAGATGATTTACTCGAATTCTATATTGTAAAATAATTTAATTTGCGGTGCAAGTCTATTAGCAATTCCCTCCACAAGCAGTCCAGCATCGTGACAAAAAAAAGGAATAATTTGCAATTAAGAGAAAAAGGAGGTTTACTTCAACAGAGCCTTTCTTTACAACACTGGTCCAATCTCTAGCAGCAATACCAGTCTTCCAATCAAAATCTACAGTAAGTGGGATGGGAGGCTTATGATCTTGGGCAGAGAAACAGGCCATGTAATCCCCCGCTTCAGCCGTCTGAAACGCAAATTGTCCTTCCCCCACATTGTCTGCCTGGTGATAGGTATTCCCATATGATGATGTCACCTAATACCCACAAACCAAAAGCCATTCAATAGACATTCCCTCCATCAATTTCTTAATACTAGACATAAAATACTTAATTACTAATCCAATTATTAATAATATGTGTTCTAGTTTCTAGGATATTAAAAAAACAAAAACAGGAGGTCAGGCATTTTAATAACAAAATTAAAAACAAATACAAGTGAAAGAAAAAGTGCAATAATACTTCACAGAACACCAGCTAGCCCCAAATCACAATAACACCAAAGAATACTCTCAGTTCAACAATATAATACAATTTTTTATAAATTAAATTATTCTAGGAAGATAAAGACAAATCGGTTATAATCAGAGAAAATAACTCACCCGTAGATTGATTTTGTGTGTGTCGGGCAAAGGGTATCCGTCGTTAGGGTTAACTACATGGTACTTGCCGACAGTCATTGCGTTACTCTTCATATCTTCAGCTATGCATTTGGTGTGACCCGATTCAAGATCGAACCGAAGGGAGTGGATTTGGGCCAAGAAGAGCCCTAAGGTTAGAACTAACGTGAAACCGTGAATTTTTGGACACATTTCTCGACCTTTTCTTCTAAGATTTGCCAAGCCTTTCAGTTAATGGTGGAGAGACAGACAGAGGGAAGATGGTGAATGAACTCAGCTCCTGTACGTTTTGCTGAAAATTAGGATTCAGAGAAAACTGAGACGTGGGGAATCATCATCAAAATCCGAAGCATACATTTTTTTATACTTCAATGTTTCAACTCAAAGCATACGTTTTGGTTTTTGATATATACTTCGATGTTTCAACTATCTATTTCACATATGGAGAACTTGAAATATTCCATATCCAACCACTTGACAGATAAAATAGATACTCCCTCCGTCCCCTTTTAAATGTCCCGGAAGAGGGTGGCACGAGTTTTAAGAAAAGTGGGTTTGTGTGGTTGATAGTAATTGATAAAGTAAGAATAAAGTAAGAATGATTTTGAGCCACACAAACTTTAGCAAATAAGGTATGGGACAATTAAATAGGGACATCCCAATATAGTAAAACGGGACATTTAAAAGGGGACGGAGGGAGTAGTAGTTATTGCATTGTAGCCAACAACCACAATGCGCTTCCTAATATATGTTTTTGAGGCATTTCAAAAAGCCATAACAAGCTCCAGCAATAAACTAATGGGTTTTCATATATCATGTTCACATATCTAAAATTCCCAACAATGCAGCCAATGATTCATATTTTTAAAAACGAGGAGAACCACTTATAGTACTAAACTACAAATACCCCCACAATAAATCACTTAACAAGAAGCAATTCTACAATTGATCATTCAACACCAAAAAATGTCATTACTCTCCATTAACGATATTGTTAATAGTCATATTTATCTGGATCACCATCCAGACATATTCACCATCATATTAAATTAACAACATCATTCTTATTAGTTTTATTTTCAATAAAGTATACTAGGCACAACTGCACAAGTATCCCGTAAGTCCTTATATGGCACCGGCTCATGCTCTTCACAAATTGAACTGAACTGTTCACTCTTTTCGCTAGATTAAGTGCTCGCTAAAAATACAAATATCTTAAAGTTATACTCCTAATATTCGACAAATTAGTATGCAGTTATATAAAAGCAAAATGTTTTGTGAACAGTATTCAAGCGCAAACATCCCCATGGAATAGAGCACCACACGAGTTCAACAGATAAAAGGCTCAAAAGTAGAAATATTGACATAATGTTGTATACTAACTAAAAAATTGTATCAGCTACAGTGAAGACTTTTATTACAAAGAATTAAAATTAAAAAATAAAGACAACATATACAGTAGAAACTTTGATGAAAGTTAATCAATGAACACACTATAAACAATCTTAATCAAGTCCCAACAGCCAGTTTCTTGGAGAATGTGTACAAAATATACATAAAATATAATTAAATTTTAAAAAAAATATAGTCCATCAAGACTAGCAAGCTTATTCATTGGGACAGGCGTATTTTCAGCCAATAAAATCTTGACAGCATGTTCAGTAAGACAAGTGTATTTTTAGCCAATCAAATCTCGCCAACCTATTGTGGACATGTGTATTTTCTTTAAGAAAAGATCATTCATTTTTCTACAACTACTACTACTACTACCTAGCAAACACTTGCTGAATGATTATAACTCGATCCTTCTACCTCTTCTCATCCTCTTTTTCACTCTGTCTCCAATATGAAAAATATCATCTTTTGTGTGAGTGATGTGTAAACTTATTACTCCTCCGTCCCATTTTGTAAGATACACTTTTCTATCTGGGTTGTCCCAAAAATATGAACACCTTAAATTAGATTTCACCAACTTTTTACTTTCCTAATATATCCTTTCATCCTATCATTTCACCTTTTAGTGTTTATGGATCCATTTTTTTCTTTCTTACTTTTTGGAAGTTAAAATTGAAAAAGAACCACTTTATCCTTTTTTTCTTAAAACTTGTACCAAACTGACATGCATCTTACATTATGGGACGCAGGTAGTATTTTATAAGCTCATACAAACAAAAAGTAGTTTTCCTATAATTAATGATTTTTAGAAGTCTCAAGTTAAGGAAAAAGAACTACTTTTGATTGAATGTTAAAGAAATGGTTAAACTAACTAAATCCACAGCTAAGAGAAGCTCTGTTTCTGACTCTGGTGAGGGTAAATTTTACTTTAGTTGCATGGTTGTCGATGGCGAGAAATGGCGCACGTGCCATGCGGCGACAAAACCCTCCATCGCCATGAAAAGTCCTCCTGGAAACGACCACACACATGGCAGTGCCATATTGCATGTGCGCCATAATGTTAGGCAGATCCAAACATGTTTATGTTTTTATTTTGGGGCTTTGGCACTGATGAATGTTTAAATAACCTGTCAGTCCATAATATTAATAAAACCCTAATAAGGAATTAATATGTCAGCTCATTATATTGACAAAAACCCTAATAAAAAGTAAATAAAGATATAACTAACGTAAAGTAAGAGAAAGCTGCTGAACTAACAGGGATTGACTAAAGGGAAGTAGTGAACTCCTTAGAGATGATGAGGAGGAGTGTGACAATTGATGAGGATTATGGCATAATCATCAAACAAAAACAAACTGACATAGTATTTTGAAAGACATGAAACTTTTTTAGAATATTATGTTTTTGGAAATACATTAAACTATTTTAACTTCAAATATTTTGGTTAGAATATTATGCTTTTTGGAAATACTTTAAACTGTTTTAACTTCATGTGGCAACGCCATAAATGCATCATCTCCATGGAAAAATGCCTTAGCGCCATGGATGCTGCTATACGCCATGACAACTATGTTTATTTGTATAGTTATAATTTGTATTTAATGTATAGCAATTAGCAATGCTTACATTCAAATTTGAACTTATACATGTATTAGACAATTAACTCAATTCATGGTTGATTTTTTTCACTACGAAGGCTGAAGGTATATATAGAGAAAGATTTAAAGGTAAAATATTTTGATAACAATCTTGCAGAAGGCATGTTTTGAGAAATAGAATACAAAATTAACACTTAGAAAATATAGTTTAAGTGGGCTAAATTTTCGAAGAAGATTACAGCAAGATTTTAGTACTATTTCCACTTAGAGTTAGTTCATGTGTGTGTACAGTAAGGAGAGTTGAATTAGTTGGATAGGTTTGCTCCCTAATTATACAAAAATCATACTCCGTATATAGTATTTGTGTAAGTTTTTTTCAATGGTTATGGTAAAACAGTTAATTACTTGAAATGTATTTATAGTGAGAATAGGATGTAAAGAATAACAGTCTGTTTGATAACTTTGATTTAAGGTGATAAAAATCCAACAACTAGCATATATTTATTCGCTTGAGATGAGGATCCAAAACATTACATTTAGGGGGTCCAATACTATTTTGATTTAAGCGTTGAGTCATGTTAGTTAGTTACTATTGCTCTTAGAGCATCACCAATGGGTATGTGTTAACATTAATAAAGATGGCCGATTCATCAATGTTAACAATGTAATTGAAATTTACGTCTCCAATGGAACATATCTAGACTTATGTAATGGTGATGTGTCAAAAATTTTTGTGAACGGTGTTAACATGAATGTTTACAAATAACAGCGTACTTGACATTGCTGACTCAACAAATTTGGTTGGAGAAAAATCTGGGAAATTCTGCCGCACATGCCAAATTCTACACTCCAAACCAACGCCACTAGCCCACGACATATACTTGCAGCAAGGAGTGGGTTTCTTTCACAACTTGAAGCCGAAGTTGAAGCTGAATTCGGATAGGTTACGTTTCACGTGCACCAAAAATTTTTCTGCTGATTTTTATTTATTTTAAAACAAAAAGACTTGTTACACGTAAACATCATTATCGGCCGTGAACATTATGCATTGCAGCATTGGACAATAATTTTGGATTCGACGGTTTATTTATATCACTTATATATGACATTGAAGACTACTCCATTTATTGATTGCCATGTGTCCAGATTTGTTCTATGTTAACAATGTACCATTAAAGATGCTCTTAGTTGCAGAAAAACCAGTTTTAATAATAGGGAAAAAATAGTTAGTTCACGTATGTAAAGGAAAAAAGGAATGTTAAGGGATAATAACAATCTATTTGAGCATCGAGTTGAAGTAAAACACAATACAGGTCCAGCACACTGATAATTACCCAAAATGGTTGCTTATAGCAATTAAAAACGAATAAATAAAAAATCTTTTAATCTAACGATTTTCATACAGATTAGGAAAAACAAGAATCAAATTTTTTAAAAAATTAAAACTCAACTTTAATGGCCATCAAGGTGTTCGTGAGTAAGAATCCTCTCTCGATATGAAGAATGTAAAATGAAATAAGTACCAGACCTTTGGGTTTTAGGATGGATTGGTATGAAACATAAACATGCACTTAACTAATAAATTCATATAAAACCTACCGATCTAGATTTCGCTACTGATGGACGATCTTCGGTACTTGCGTCTTTCTGTTGCAGATCGAGAATGTGATTCTGGAATGTATGAGATCTGCTTATCTAATCAGCCATGAAGAGGTTGGCTGAGGTGTAGGTTGTTATGCATTGGGTTGGGTTGGTTTATATGTTGGGTTATTTATTGGGCCATATAATGGCTCAAAATGGACTCAACAAAATTATGCATATAAGGTCATATGAGTTAGGCTAGAGGTACAAAAACTTTTACAAAAAGTCTTACAAAAGGGGTATGTGGCATCATCACATTATTTAACACATCACATCACATTTACAACACTTTTACATCAATGGTAATTAAAATAGTCACATCACTTGTTTGTAAATTTTTTTGTAAGTGTGTTTGTACTTCTAGCATTTTTCAAGGTCATATTGGGACCAATCGGACCAGGCATAATATGGGTTATCCAGATTTATTTTAAGATTTAAGAAAAACTAATATCAATAAATTCAGTACAAAAATTTAATGATATATTTTAATACCAAATTATTTAGAATATGAAAATTATATCAAAATATTCCTTATTGAAAATATTTTCATAAAAATATAAAATTTATAAATTATATACAAATATAATAACTAAAATCATTGCTCAAAGTTTACCATCATTGACCAAGAAAAGTCAATTTGGTAAACCTTTTTGGGGACGGAGGTAGTACACCTTTACAAGTATAAAAAAATAAAATATCTAACCAACGTAAAGCAATTTTTTAACGTCGTGTAGAATTTTCAAAAAAAAAAGAAAAGAAAAAGAAGAAGATATTAACAGTTATTAAGCGTGAAAAATGACACAGTTTCCTAGCTAACCCAATACTGATAGAATTGAAACCAACGTAAGGTAAAATGTGTAACATCGATCACGTAGTATTCACGTCTTCTCATTTATTAATTCCTTCTTTCTTGCTTCCTCCTCACTCGCTGATACCATGTGACATGAATTGTTCAAGATTGAAAATCTGAAAAGCATACATACTTATTTAACATATTCATGAAATGCAAATAAAAGGATATACATATACCTAGACACGTAGTATATAAATAACGGCAAGGGCGGACCATAGTATATATATATATATATATATATACGAAAAATAATTTTTGGTCTCCCAAAAAATATTTTAATTAAACACCATGCGCAGCAACGGTCAACACACTATTATTAGCATTCATATATTTCCTTTTGTATTTTACATATTGTATTTACTTGCAATTATGTCTAGATTCATTTGTAATTATGGTAGCAATATTTTTAGCCCATAGAATCCTCCTAGCATTGATGCCTCTCGGCCGTAGTGCATGTATATATGTCCATATTATTTTGAATAAGAGACCCAAGGAATTACATTCCAATTTGGTATCAGTAGCTTTCTTCCTCTATACAACCATGGCTTCTTCCTCTTCCAAATTTCATCCCGCACTTGCGGTGTCCAACATCAAAAATTTTATTCCCATAACTCTTGACCTTGAAACTGTGGAATACTCCTCCTGGGCAGAGTTAATTAAAATCACCGCCCGTGCGTACCAAGTCATCGACCATATCATCCCCAACACCCCCGCTGCCCCTCACCACATCCCGTCTCCTCTACAACTACGCCGGAACAATAACTCGCCCTTGACGCCGCGCTGCTCGAAGAAAAAGCTCTTTGGGACCATCTTGATGTCGTCGTCCTACAATGGATATACGACACGATTTCTCACGACCTCCTTCACACAATCATCGAGCCCGACTCCACGGCTCACACCGCCTGGCTTCACCTCGAGGATATCTTCCAAGATAACCGAAACTCAAGAGCGGAGTACTTGGAAAATCAGTTTTCCAATACACGACTTGACCAATTCCCGAACATCACCTCCTATTGCAAGGCTCTCAAAATGCTTGCCGATCAACTGAGCAAACAGCTGCCTAGTTCTACGCCTTGTCCATGGGCTACCGGAACATTATGACATCGTGGCTACTCTCATTCAACAGGCCGACCCCCTCCCACTCTTCTCCAAAGCTCGGTCCATGTTGACACTCGAAGAAGCCCGGAAAAATCAACAAGCCAATAACCCCGCTGCGGCCATGTTCCACGCCGGCAACAACCCCCCTCCCCCTCCTCCCCCTCGGGCTGCCCCTCTTCAAACTCGCCCAACACCTTCCCATCAACCTGATCCCCGGTTTGCCCGCCCTCGTGGCCGTGGAGCCCGTAACAAAAACCAACACCGCCCACATTACCCCACTCCCGCACCCTCTGGCTAATGGTCCTACCCCCCATGGTCCTACTGGCCACCTACCCCGTGGTTTGCACCCCCATGCCCCTACCCCTCTACCCCACTTCCCACTCAACACAACAAACTGAATCCCTCTCCCGGCATTCTTGGACCTCGTCCACAAGCCCACCACGCCTCCCCATACCAAACCCCAACGGATATACAAGCCGCCATGCACACCATGACACTCTCCCCACCGGATGACAATTGGTACATGGACACCAGAGCGACTTCACATATGACTTCTTCCGCAGGTACTCTCCGTCCTTATTTTAATTTGTGCACAAACAATCGCATTATGGTTGGTAATGGCACGTCCATTCCAATAACGGGTCACGGCCATACCACCCTTAACACCACCCCTCACCCCTTCACCTAAAACATGTCCTCCATGCCCCTCATCTCATTAAAAACCTTATTTCCGTCCGTAAGCTTACTACTGACAATAATGTTTCCGTTGAATTTGATCCTTTTGGTTTTTCTGTGAAGGATCTCCGCACAGGGACCTCAATTCTGTGGAGCAATAGCTCGGGCCAGCTCTACCCCATCCAACCCAGTGTCGGCTTCACCACTTCTCCATCGGCTCTTCTTACAATTCCGGCCGAGCTTTGGCACAGCCGATTTGGTCATCCGGGAGACCCATTTTTTAATTCACTTCGAATAAATAGAGTTATCTCTTGTAATAAACTTCATGCGTCTATTTGTACTTCATGTCAAATGGGCAAACATGTTAAACTGCCTTTCTCTTCTTCTTTATCCGTTACTCATAAACCGTTTGAAATAATACATAGTGATTTATGGACATCACCTGTTTTAAGCAATCTTGGCCATCGTTATTATGTATTATTTTTAGATGACTATTCTAAATTCTTGTGGGTATTTCCTCTTCAACATAAATCACAAACGTTCTCCACTTTTGTCACATTTTACAATTTTATTCATACTCAATTTGAACAACGAATAAAAATTTTACAATGTGATAACGGCACCGAATTTCGCAACAAACAATTTAGCCATTTCGGTAACACCCATGGCATGCACTTTCGCTTCTCTTGTCCATACACTTCCCCTCAAAATGGTAAAGCCGAACGCACCATACGAACCATAAACAATATGGCGCGCACCCTCCTCCTTAATGCCAACCTTCCCCACCAATTATGGACGTTGATAGAGTATATCTAGAGAGAAGTGAGAGCTAGAGAGAGAAGTACAATAATATGCTTCAATAGAATGAATTTGTAACCCCCATAACTACTCCCAAAGGGAGTATTTATAGAGAAAATTAGGGCTGGGCTCCCAAGTCTTGGGCTTGGGAGGCCCATTTACAACTGGACCACTACTGGGCCGAATACAAAGCCACCAATGGGCTGTACAAATGAATAAGTATAAAATCTGGTTCTGGGAGGTCCTCGTGGCCGATGAGGGCGTGGCCGACAAGGGCACGGCCGACGAGGGCACCCGGGTTCCTTGGGCTCAGGATCATAATCTGTGTTGGCCCCTTTTCGGCCGACGGGGGCTTCTTGGCCGACGAGGGCGCCACTTTGTTGTTTTATGCTTTCTGTTCTTCCGAGTATGTGGGTCCGGGGGCTCAGACCCATATACTCCATCAAGAGTCCCCCACTCTCTAAGCTGAGACGTAGACGAAGTGAGGGAGAGTAGATTCCTATGCTTTGTTGCCCTTGGCCGTTACCTGTTCCTTGTTGTGGACAGGGAGGCCGTTGTTTTACTTGATGTCTTCGTTTTGGGACGATGAGTGTCCTTCTTTCAATGGTGGCCGTTGAAAGGCATGTTTTGCTTGGGCGTTGATGGTTGAAGTTTGTGTTTGGGCCGATGAGGCCACTGAAGTTGATCCTTGCTTCTAGGACGATGGCATCTTTCCCTTTGGATGGCCGATGAGGGTGTTTGCGCACTCCTTTTGGCCGTCGTTGATTGGCTTTCATGTTCCTGGCCGAAGAGCCCATCGTGATTAAGTGATGGCGGAGGACGATGAGTGTCCTTGCCTTAGGTGGCCCGTTGGCCGTTGCTGATGACGTTGTGTGCCTTTGGCCGACGAGGTGCAGTGTGATGCGTGGCCGATGTGGCCATGCTCTGTGGTTACCTTGTTTGCATTTTCTCTTTTGTTTTGTTGAGGCCGGTGTAGTCCCCCAGTCCCCCACTGCTTCAGGCCGAAGAGTGTGAGGGGTGAAGGAGTTGCTTGAGTCCCTGGCCGAAGCGGCCTCCCCGTAGTCTCCCTGAATCCAACCCTCATGGCGATTTTTCGGCCAAGGTAACCCTGTGGGAGAACCCTTGTGCGCAGATCGCTTGTAGAGAGTTATCATCAAGGGTCATGACGAGGAGCCGATGGCTTGTGGGCTCTTTGTTCCTTTGGTCCTGTGGCCGTTACGTTCCTGGCCATTGTCGTCTCCTTATTGTTTGGCAGTTGTGATCTTGGCGAGCAAGTGGGACGTTGTGGGCGCTTGCTGGTACTTGTAAAGCCGGCAAGCGTGTAGGCCGTTGGAGTCTGGTTTGCCGGTGGGCTGTTGATGTGGGTTGGACCTGGCCCGTTGGTGACGTGGTGGCCTCCCATTGGTGGCCGTTGATGTGGCCATTGGGAGAGTGCCACGTGTAGTGACCGTTGGGTGGGGGGGGGGGGTCTATAAATACCCCTTCCCCTCCGACGAGGAACCACATTTGCATTCTGAATTGTCGAAGTGCTGGCCATTTTTCTAGAGAGATAAACTCCCAAGCTTGTTCTTCGTGTTCGTCGTTGTTCAAGGTTAGTGTTCATCGCGATCTTCCTCACTTTTCATATTTTGCTTCCTAGGCTAGTGATCTAGTGTTAGGTGTTTG